AGAAAGACTGGTGGATTATTTGTAATTTTGATATCAAGTTTAACAGATGTTTTTGTGTATGCGTGCAAAGAGCGAAGATATACAGTAGGCACCAAAATAACGCCCGATTTACAGGTATTACTATACGCACAAATTCATACTGTAGCAGGATGATCGGCGAGTCTGTCGCTAATGACCAAAGGCTCGCGTAACCTGCGGATAGAAGAGTCCGTCCTTCTACACACAAAACCAACACAAGGCAGAGGCGTAAAAAGATTTGGGCGAGTCTCAAGGTAGTTTCCCCTAAACTACTTATAACCTCACTGTTATAACAATCTATCCAAAAGATTCTTAAGATTTGTCATTTTATTAAGTCATTGGAAGAAGTTACATTTATATATTTTTACACATAGGGTTATTGCATAATCACTATAACTATTCTAGTATTATGTTATGCATAAATTACTTCGTGGTCAACTAATTTTCTATTACCTCAGCTCATAGGTTTTTACCTTTTTGACGTGAATGGATTGTTCGCGCATTCTTCTGGCTTGGAAGGGGTATGGTGATGGTCGGCAATTGATTGTTTCGCGTAAGCTTCGGTCGTGTCACGATCGTCGGTCACGTGACCACGCGAAAATTCTGAACTTGGTCTGACTTCTTTGACCTTTAACAATACGTACATTGTGTTTACCCCATTTTTGACATTTTTAGGGTCTTATTTCTTTCAGCTTACTCTTTGGGTCTTCAACTAAACGTAAAAAGAAAAAAAAAAAAAGACAGTTAATATGAAACGTCCTCATACTCAGCCGATAAAGGAAAAATCCTTGCTTATATCGAAGAAATGAGTGCTGAGCAAGTTGCACTCAAAATGGAGAGCAACCCCACAACAATATGACAGTCCTCGGTAAATACAGGAGGACAAAAAAAAAAAAAAAAAAATAGAAAACTCACCACGATCAGGAAGATCTTGGGTCATCAATGAACAAGAAAAGGAGGTGATCTAGCAAGAAGCTATCAAGGAACGGCGCAAAACTTTACACAACATAATCAATTATTTGAGACTTACAGTATTTGTAATTTAACAACTGCAGCTAAAGAGTTGCACGATCGAGAAATTTATTCTTATGTAACAGTTGTAATTTAACAACTGCAGCTAAAGTGTTGACGATCGAGAAATTTATTCTTATGTAACAGGAAAAAAAATCATTTTGTCGGTAGCTAATTTTACTGTACATATAAATTGGTGTGAAAAAAATAGAGAGAAGAGAATATATGATTGGTGACATGTTGCTTTTATTATGAATCAATTGTCAAAATCAGCAAACAGTCCCGCCAAATAAGAATATGGCATCACGTAAGAGAAAGGTATGATTTCGACTGCTAGCACCATGTTTTAAAGGTGATAGACGTTCATTAATGATCTGGGGATGCTTCATAGAGGAGGAGTTAAAAGGTCCATTGATATTTTGTGATGAATACAAGGAAAGAAAAGAAAAAATCAAATCAGAGACATATTTAAAAATTCTTGAAAATGGATTCTTACCATTTCTTAATGTAGCACATTCATTAGTTAGTCAAAATATACTGTTTTAACAAGACAGCACCTCAATTTATACTGCAGAAAGTGTCACAAAATGATTCGAAGAAAAAGAAATTCAAATTATGGATTGGCTATCCAATTCCCCAGACCTTAATATCATTGAAAATGTTTGGAAGGTGATAAAAGATAAGACTTTCCGCGAACTATAGACAAACTTAAAATATCCCTGAGTAAAGCAGAATCCAAGCAGCATTGGATGCAAACGGTGGCACTACAAATATTAATATAAAGAAAAAAAATTTTTTTTTAAATGTAAATGTGTAATGAAAGATTAAATAAAGTCGTGTGTGCATAAATTTCTGATTTGATAAAAAATCAGGCGTTACTTTTGGTGCCTATTGTAAATTATCCAATTTTGGAGAAAGAACGCTGCAAATTGAAAAACGTCGACTCTATTTGGGCTATAAGAATTTAAATTAAAACATTACCCGACAGATACTGTATGCAGTATTTTGAATTATTGCAAAAATTTCTTTTTGTCTATATTCTTTTTCAAACAAAACTTGATTTTCTTTTTCTTTTTCTTTTTTTTTTTTGTCCCACAGTGTATGATTTTTCAAAAAACCTCATCTCCATCTTATATATTTTCTATATACTGAAACTCAGACTGTTGTAAATCAGTTCATGCTCGTACAAACCGGCAAACTAAGGCGGATAAGTCAGAAACGAAACACGGTTATTGTGCCAGACCTTCAAACTTTTATTTATTTATTTTAATTTTAATTTTATTTATTTATTTATTTTGTTTATATTCTCGTGGCGTAGGCGTTATTTTTGATCATCGATTTTTCTATTGGTTGAGATAATGAGATCATCTTCTCCGTTTATACAGTAAGTATCACGACGGCTCTTTCTTTTTCTTTTTTTTTTTAACCCGCAGTCAAGTTAGCATGGCATGTCTTTATTGTATATATGCTAGATATTTACAAATTGTTGCAACTTTCACATACTAATTCACTCATCATCGAAAAACTATTTCTCTAAATACAATCTAGGGAATGATATTTCACTCCTTTACTAATTTGAATAACTCTAATAAAATCATTGCCTGCGGGTTATTACTATAGATCATTTTAAGTTCTGTCTGCAGTTAAAAATCAATTCATTTTATTCCATAACAAACCCAATCCTTAATAATCACTGTATACTTCTTTTCTTCTTTTTCTTTAATACCTTTCAGGTTCAACTCTTTCAGAGGTAATGGCACTGCCTCTTGGTTCTGTCCAGTTTGTATGTTAAGTCTGTACTTGTGTCTTTTATTTATTTTATCTTTTTCAGTAATCTTCTGCTTTTTTTCCCATTCTATAACTTTGACACGGTGATTATTCCAGATCTCCTTGTACCACGACAGCTCTTTCTTTTACCTTTTCCTATAGAAATAAATAAAACATTATGATCACTATTTTAAATCATATTTTCTAGAGTTCAAAGAAAGATATTTTTATAAAGAGAATAACATAACTTTGATTGAAGAATTACTAAATAATAGAAAGGGATATAAAATGATTGATAAATAATTACGATATTAAATATCAACATCAAAATGCTGTATATGTTAATCATTTTTCATAGGAGAATGGTGGTTAAATCATACAAATATTTCTGGTTATATATTTCGTTCTGATTCAATTTCACCTATCTTTCCTTTAAAAATCACGTTTCATACAGATTAAATATGTATTGTATAGAAAATTTATTTGTTAAGTAGTTAATCCGTTGTATGATCATATACAGCTAAATACAGTATACTAAAACTTTCATTGTATGCAAGTGCTTACAAATGATTTATTGTAACAATCACAGAAAAAGGAGAATGTTACTAATAATACCAGATCTATTCCTTTCTTTTTGCCAAAATAAACAATTTGCATTGTTTGGGTCCTCGTTTAAATTTCAAACGTGCATTCTTTCAATCCTATTATCCATCAAGTGTTATGTTCCAATTAAAATCATTAGCGATCAATTTTTGACCTTTTTTATTTAACCGAGAGAACGTTTGATGTGCGCATGCGCGTCGCAAAGGTCTTACAGTAAACATGGGTTTTTCTTTCTCGTGATCGCCGCATATCAAACGTTGTACAATAATAAATATACAATCGAAACAAATATTATTACAAATCTTGCATCTGTAAGCGGAATTTAATGTAAAATTATTTTACCGATGCGCACGCACAGCAGGTGTCGACTAAGATTAGTTCTCCTAAAGCACAAATACGTAATCTCGTGGTTGTTTTCGGAAGTGTTGTCGATCTGGCGCCGTGTCCCTCATCGAATAATATACAGTACCTATCTATCTATCCATCTATTTAACATACCAAATTAAAAAAATATAAAAAAAAAGACGTCAAAAAAAAAAAAAAAAAATCCCTTTATTTTTGAAAAACATGCGAACACGAATTTTGAGAATAAGAAAAATTTCCTTCGGTTTACATTTTCATCAATATCGCATTATAAGAAGAATTATGTAATTAGAATGAAATTAGAATGAAAAATTCGTATGTTTTAATTTATTTACACCTAGCAAAGTAGGTGTTATGGCCGTTGGAATTCAAAATGTTTCGTCGTATTTTTACTTTTAATGACCACCTATTTTTATTAGTCACGTGATCGCAAAATCTTGACGGAAAAAAAACCAAAAAAAAAAAAAAAAAAACCCAAATAGCATTCATTCCACCATACGGATAAAACCGCAAATTGACCTCTCAAGAATATTCCGCACATTTTTTTAACACTTAAATATTCCGCATATATTTTTTCAGCAAGAGAATACTCCGCATAGACTTCGAAATGCTCCGCATATCAATATTTCCGCACGTTTTCGGATATAAACAGACCTTACTTGTCATGAAATAATCAGTCTTCAAAGTACACATTTCTTGGACAATGGAATCTTGCAAAAAAAATGCTTATATTGCTTGCAAAGGTTGCCGAATCTCGGGACGTAAATGCGTCACGAAAAAGTGTCCGAACTGTGACTCAGAAGAAGAGTGTTTTTTCACAAAGGCAAATAGAGTTTGCGATAAATGCATTGTGACGAAGGCTTTGGGGTGTGTTAGAGCCTGTAAAGAATGTTCAAAAAAAGATCACATGTGCATATATGGGACTAGAGGAAATTCCGGAAGAAAGCCATCCCAAAAGAAACATAAGAGTGAAACGAGAGGTACGTCAAAAAGCATATGATATTATTCATCACTTACGTACAACTTATTGTGACCAATACTGTTTTGTGTAATAGGGGTTAACGAAGAAGTCATCGGTGTTGGTCATAAAAACGGCGATATCTTAAATGCGTCTTCATTTAAGGACCCCCAGGACTCTCTTGACACTTCAGAATTTCCCATACCCGAAAGTGATCCTATGCATGATAATTCTAGAAACATTGCGATTCGTATTGGTGATGTCACCGATTTTGACCCTGTTGATGTTGCGATAGAGAATGATGTTGACTGTTTTGATAGAACTGAAATCAGTTCTATGGACAACAACACTACGATTGATCTTAATGATGTCTCTGAAAGTGACTACATTGAAATCGCCCGTGAGATCGAAAGAATCTATACAATGTGGTTATTGTCGCAACTATATTAGGAAAAGGTCGAATCAGTGAAGACTTGCCAGCAATTTGGAGTCACTTATTCCGATAATAAGTGTTCGTAAGTGTTAGATAGCCAATAATTCGTGCTTTTTTTTTTTTTTTTGATCTGTTTATTTGTTTACCATTTTTTATTTTTTTTTAATTTTGTTATTATTGTTATTAATTTTTTTTTGTTTATTTGTTTGTTCTATTGGCATCTTACTATCATCGAAATAATTTTAATGGTTTATCATAATTAGACAAGGAAAACAATTTTCTTTTTTCACTTCGAATTTTTTTTTTTTTTTTTTTTTTTTTTTTTTTTTTTTTTTTTGTACGAAAACATCGATTTATGTAAAAAAAAACAAAAATTAAAAATTATTTCAAATGTATATTGGTTGAAAACAGCTTGGGTTTAATGATATTTCAAAAAAATAATTTATTAATACACACACGGCGGTTTGAAAAAATTTTATTATTATCATTTAATTTTTTTACTTTAAATATCATGCGCATATATAATATAAAAAATTTTAATAAGTTACATTTTAAATTATGATTGGTTATTGGTTAAGCATTTCTATTTAAAATTAATAATAATAATATTATTATTATTATTTTTATTTATTTATTTATTTTTTTTTTTTTAATAAACACACAACGTTGCCCATTTTATTGATTATATGCGTTACATGTACTCTTGTTTACAAAG